TGGCGAAACGTTAGGAAACAAAACTTCAAGACCACGGCCACACAGCCCGGAAGACCCACACCAGCCATTGAATCATTCAGTTTCATTTCCAATTCCATTATTTCTATCTCTTTCTTATAGGCTATCATTTTTTAATCCACCATCAAAACAATTTCATTTTTATTCAATTGGGCTTGTTCCTTTTCAGTAACATCTATTTTTTCTGTAATAGTAAATCACTTTATAACTTCCTGAACCCATTTATCATAGATCTCTCTTAAAGTAGCCATTGATGCATTTCTTTCTTTCTAGTGCCTTCTAGTATTCAATTGAAAGTCTTATCAGTTGTTTCCAAATATAAACATAGACATTTTCCCATGGGAAGGATTCTTTCAATTAGCTTCAAGGTCTTAAATCAACTCCATCTGAGCCCTTAATCAATTTAAAACTTTCTAAAGCCAACACTAATCATCCTTTTGCTGTATATTCTGAAAAAAAAAATTTTTTACAAATCTTTAAACTTGTAGTTAAAACTTCTTTTTTTAAAGGATTGAAGAAAACTCACCCAGTGATTTCAATAAAACTTCCCGATCTGAAGCTTCTCAGTCTTTAAGAGGCAGCAAAAAAGAAAAAGGAAAAAAAGGAAAAGGAAAAAAGAAAAGTGATTAAGAGTCTGTATGAGCTACATTAGCAGCTATGAGCTTGATGAATCCTGCAACTCCCAGTGCATTAATCTTCAAAATTTCATCTTCTTCCTCTAACACAAGTCCCAACCCTTTCCCACATGTGTTGCAATGCAATGCACACACCCAAAGAGGCGGAGCTTGTGGGGTGGAGCTGCTTTTGCCATTCTGGTGTAAGTGGTAAGAGCCTGAGGATGCTGCTGCCTTAACTACTCTGCTACTGTACACTGCAATCCAAGCTGATTTGTTTATGTATTCTCAGTTTGTGCTATTTGCAACTTTGGTTTAAGGTAAGATAACCATTTGAGCAGTCCATTGCAGATGTGTATAATGGGTGGAACAAAAAGTCTATGCATGTTCTTCAAAAGAGATTTGTTCTTTTTCCCCAGCCCTATTGCTGAACCTCCGAAGAAGCCCTCTTACCAAAGTATAGAAAGGTCAGTGTGATCAAATAGTGAGAGTGGGAAACAAATTGTTATTGCAAGTTACTGTTATTATTGCATGGGCTGTGGCTGTGAGACTAGCCTTGACTGAAGTGGTTTATAAATTTATCAATAGATAGTATAAACAAACATAGGGACAAAAATTTATAATTAAGAGATTATGAGATTTTCATGAATATAGGCTTCCTGATATCAAATCAGCCTGTTATCCTTCTGGCTCAGTATACGGTACTTTGACAGGCTGCAGTGGTTTTCCAGGAGCAAATTTTTTGCCCCATCATCTGCCACTTGAGACCATCTAGCACTAGGAAAACCATGCACATTTCATTGGTTTTCTTGAACAAGTCGGTGGGTTTTGAATTGGCTTAAGAAGAAAAGGAAAAGAAAAAAAAAAAACAGCCCAGGCATCACATTAGACAGAACAGACAATTAGGTCCCCTTCAGATTGTTTTGGCCAGTGATTCTCAACCTTGGCAACTTGAAGATGCATGGATTTCAACTCTCAGAATTCTGGGAGTAAGTCCACACATCTTCAAGTTGCCAAGGATGAGAAACACTGTTTTAGATGTTGACTCTCACCAGCTCCTGCAGCAAGGCCAGTGGGAAAGGATTTGGAGAGGTATAGTCCAAAATATCTGGATGCATCAGGTTGCCTCTTCTCACTCTATCCTGAACAGAAGAGAAAAGGACTTAAGTTACAATTTATGGTGTTTATTTTAGTTTCACAGTGTCTGAGGGGGTATTTTTGTATCAGCCTCCCCTTTTCTTTGTTGGTATTTGCTACCTTTTAATTAATGAGAATTGAGATAATATTACTGTACTGCATTCCTATTTTTTAAAATTACACTTTATTTGATTTGCAAAGGATTTTTTAAAAACTTTCTGCCTTCAAACCATGGTTTTATCAGATTGAGTTAAAGATATTTCCATGCCTTTTTGAGGAAATGAATTTAGGCCCAGTATAGGCCTAAATGTTTTATATTTGTGGAAAAAGTAAATCACTGGTCAAATTTTTATAGGGATTTTGTTTTTTTGTCTGAAGCAACTTTCCATAATTTTTTTTCTATCCATCCATCCATCCATCCATCCATCTTTTTTTTTTTTTTTTGGTCCTTCCTTACTTTTCCCAAAAGACTGAATCTGACAATTTGGTGCAGAGAATCTGAAGATCACACTACAGATGACAAAATCTAACCAATGTATTTAATACTGAATGCATACATAGTGCTTCAATAAATAGGACTGCCATAACTGGCTTATTGTTGTTGAAGTTGTTTAGGGGAGTGGGGAAAGGGTGGCTCTTTTGGACGTACTCACTAGAGGAATCCAAGAGCAATCATTCAAGTAGTTAAAAAGAAGATAAGATGCATCACATTCCCAGAGGTGTGCTTCCTTGAATCTATAACCAGTGAACAACTTGTAACAGCCTGAATCAAATACCACCTTTCCTGAGATATTTCCTTGTAATATACCCACGTACTGAATAGCAGATGCTGAGTAGAAACAGTCATTCAAATTCATGCCCTGTTTGAGAGTATCCAGAAAAAATTGACCCACCTTGTTTCAAACTAGTAGGCTGGATTTGGCTTCATGTGATAGGGTGGTTTATTTTATTTTATTTTATTTTATTTTATTTTATTTTATTTTATTTTATTTTATTTTATTTTATTTTATTTTATTTTATTTTATTTTATTTTATTTTATTTTATTTTATTTTATTTTATTTTATTTTATTTTATTTTATTTTATTTTATTTTATTTTATTTTATTTTATTTTATTTTATTTTATTTTATTTTATTTTATTTTATTTTATTTTATTTTATTTTATTTTATTTTATTTTATTTTATTTTATTTTATTTTATTTATAAATGCATATTTATTTAAATGGATATGCTGTCCAATTCCTTAATGGCCCTATAAATAATCATAAAAATATCCATAAAACTAAACTAAAACTAAACTGAACAGGTGAATGGTGAATAGTGTTACAGTAATGACATTGAGAATATCCTTTAAGCATGAGTCAAAACAGTCCCATTTGAAACACACTGAATGTTTGTGTTACGTATCAAGCACAACTTGAAAAGTTTCCAGGGTTGTGGCCACAGGAAGCTATGGGAACTCAGAACAAGTCCATTTGGTCCCCTCATTTTTCACAGAAATAAGTGGTGTGGTAATCTGCAAAAATATTTTGGTGCTTGAGTAAGATTATGCAGTGGTACCTGAAAGTTTGATCATTCCTGATTTAAGAAATGCTTTAGGAAGTGTAATAATCTGAAACATACTGTATCTATAATCAGATTCTCAGAAATCAATTCTATTAAGTTAATGGATTTTTCCCCAAGCTAAATGTATAGAACTTGCAACTTAAGCCTGCTGAATGTCCTTTGAATACAGTGTCACTTGTGCTTTCTGGCAAAACCTGGGTTATGCATTCATAATAAATTATGCAAATTAAATTTGTATCTATCTACTTTTCATAATGTATTTTGCTGCTGAGACTTGTATTCCGGTTTTTGTTCCTTACAAGGTGGCAGCCAGAGAACAAAGAAACAACATAAGAGGAGGGCAGATATCTGCTGAAAGAGGCTGTCAAACAGTGCAATTTTGGCTTTTCATAAGCTTTAAAGGGCATTATTATCACTTGTTAATAGAAATTCAGTCCAGACAGCTTCCATTTTAAAAACATTTAACCAGTCATTGCTTACCTATTTCTATAACTTTCTTTGTCAGAAATGTGCCGCCTTAAAATACCAGCTTGTATTTATTTCTCTGTTGTTTTAAAAATATTGTGAAATACCAGCTTGTATTTACTGTATTTCTTAGTTGTTATTTCACAATATCCACAAATTTAGAGAATTCTAGAGTTTCCTTCCCTTCCTTCTTTCTTCCCTTCCCTTCCTCATTAATACTTGGATGTAATACATTACTGTTTTAATGTTTTTTCCCCCTCATGTTGTGAAATCTTTGCACATCAGTGGATTGATCCCTGGGGTGATTAGGAAAAGAAACTCTGGTACCTAATAGAAAGCTCTGCCAAGCTCCATGCAGAGTGTGGTCTTAAAACGGATACAGGGACTCCCCGGGTTAAGGACGCCTGGTTTCAGGATGACCCATAGTTAAGGAATTTGAGTTAAATACGCAACAATTCGAGTTACATACACAATGGGTTGAGTTCATTACACACTACTACTTATACAGTATTATACAATAATACTGTTCCAGCTTACATACAGATTTGACTTAAGGACAAACCTTGGGAATGGAATTCATTCTTAAACTGAGGACTACCTGTAGTAGTGTCCATATTAGAAATATGAAAATGGAACATTTATTTTTTATATATTACTGCCCATCCTGGCCATAAGTTATTAGAGTTGTCAGTAAATGTGATTATATGTGACTTTACTATGCAGTCTATAATGCAACCTCCTCTTTCATTTTTCTTTGTATTCAGTATTTATACTGCCACTGTTAAGGAAATTGAAGAAGAGGAACAGCCTGTTGTTGAGGAGAAGATAGAAGTGGAAGAGAAGACAAAACGTGCTAGCCGTGGAAAGAAAAAAGCAAAGAAATAGTGTAATGAGACTGGTAGAAGGTGTTACTGTTATTTATTTATTTATTTAGCATTATATACACATGCTGGTCTGAATTTAATGCAATCACAGATGTTAAATACAGATATAGCCAAGTAGATCTTATTCATTATAAAGCAAGCCAGACCCCAAAGTTATCTGCCTTATTATCATCAACCTTTCCATAAAGGAACTTGTTTCTTTCCATAAAACAGCTTGTCTTTCTAAAACATCTGGAGATTAGTTCCCAGCAAATAATGCAAATCCTAGCAAGAAATTCCTTACCTTGCTCTACAGAATCAAAACATCTCAAGACTTTGGAAAGGAAATAAAAGCTGTGGTCAAACTGATGTACAGGAAGCATAACAAGATTGGTGAGTTGACAGGGCAGAGGGAAAGAAAGGCATGGATGGCTAAGAGGGGATGCAACAAGCCAAGCGAATGAAATGAAGGGCCTCTAGAGATCATTGCAAATGGAATTAGTTGTATTATTATGATCATCATCATGGCATTTTTATATGGGATCTCATAGGATTTCTAGCAACAATACAGAAATCATAAGCTGTTAGAAAGAATACCAATATTTTGACATATTAAGAGTTTTTGTTTGTTTTGTTTTTTGCTTGAGATTTAAGCATTTCACAGATAATATGAAATATTAGGGGTGAGATTAAGACATGGGTGGGTTTTTTGTTTCAGTTTTTGGTGTCTACACCATCCTACAAAACCATGCAATGTGTCCAGCAGCAAGAAGCCTTCATCTTTTCAAAAACAATGTATTTTCAAAGATTGTTAAACACTGCAGTTTTTCAAGAGATCAGATTAACATGGGGAAACATCTAGTGAAGAACAATCACATCTGTGTAGGTGCTTGGAACAGAACTGCAGAAAAAAAGAAACTAGAATTCTTGCTGAAGCATGGTACATTCTAGGCGTCAATATGTACCATACTGAAAGTGCCATTTTCATCTGGAATCTTAAAATCCTTGTGTTGCAGATCATCATTGGAAGCCTATGGCCCTCTATATGTCATGTGGCAGCAGCTGCCCTCACCCTAACCATTAGTTGTACTGGCTAGGAATGATGGGAACTGAACAATATTTGGAAGGCCACAATGCTGCATCCCTGTGTCAGGTATGAGGCTAGATTTGACATGGGAGACCTGGACTCAACCAGCTGCTCAGCTGTGATACCAATGGAGACCTTGCACTGCTATCTGATAATGAAGTGAGATTATTACTCACCTGCTACCCTAAACAAGTATATAGTGAAAGAGTGAGAAATCTATGAACGGTAAATTTCATATGTGATAAATAAATATATAATCTGATATTGGCTGCTGTGTATGTTCAGTTTCTCCTCCATATCCAACTTCCCCTTAATAATCGCATACATGGAACAAACACAGTGGAACCTCGGTTTATGAACTTAATTCGTTCCGTGACTCTGGTCGCACCCCGAATTGGTCGCAACCCGAAGGA